CGCCCGCCCCCAGCCGCCGACAGTGCGCGCACGCGTCCTAAAGCCCAAGCCGGAAAAGTTTTGTGTGCGAGCCCTGCTCAAGTGAAAGGAATTGCGAGGCTGAGATCGCCTCCTTCGCCCAGGCATCGTCCTAGTGGGTCCCGGCAGCGATTAGAGCTTAGCTGTGGCGTCTTAATTGGAACCATGGAATGGGGCGGAGGGTGGGAAATGGAATCCCTGTGGACCCGGCGGCCCGGGAGGGGGAGACTCATACTTCCTCCCCCAACCCAATTCAGATTGGTTAATGTGACCTCTAGCTAGAAGAGCGGCGTCCGGGCTCTGGAAAGAAGAGGGTTCCCTCTATAGAGCTTCATCCGAGCCCACCCCACTCCTTGCTCTTGCAATTGGGGGCAGACTAGAAAGAGTCTCGGAGGATCTAAGGCTCCACCTCCCACCATGCGTCCATCCCCGTCCAGCAGCCCCCCAACCCCCAGCAAACTGGACCTCAGGCTGGGCGGGGTGGGGAGGGGGGGTTGCTGCCTTGTCTCCCATCTCCTCCACTGCTCTTGATCGTCGCGGCATAGGCTTCACCTCTAGCGCTGACCAGACCTCCCCTAAAGCACGGGCGCCCTCTGCTACCCATTCCAGTGCCAGGTTCAGGATTTAGAGAAAAGGCGGGAATGTGGGTGGAGGGTGAGGGTGCGATGTCCACCCCCAATCTTCGATAGAGAGCAAGACCTTCTCTCACATGCCTATGGATTCCAAAGGGTTTTCTTACCCTTTTCCAGTCTCCAGTTAAGGCGCTGATAAAGGGATTCCAATCTACCCCTGCCACGCCCCCATGGGGGTGACCTGAGTGCTCCTTTCCCTCACAGGCTTATCCTCACAGGCTTGGGACGATTTCTTTTGGGAAAGCCCTTTCTGGGGATCAGTGTTGAGGATTTCCTCTATCTGAAGCCAGACTCCTAGGGGAGCTTCATGCTTCCGGACAGCCCACTGAAGCTGACACCCTGCGCAGTGGACACCCGCCACAATTCAGCTGTTGGGGCGGGACGCCTGCCCTGGCCCTTGCTGGCCCTGAGCCGGACGCCCCCCCACCTCCACCCGGTTATTGCGCAGTTGTGGGTGCCCGCGGGACGAGGCAAACACAGAGGTCAGACAGCTTCAGTGAACTGGGGGGAGGGATGCTCGGCTGGTGGCTTCGGCTGCAACTGCCGGGCAGGAGCTGGGGGCTGTGTTTTATTCATTTCTCCCTTTTGCTGGTTCTTAACTGCGCCCCTGAGGGTGCAGCGACTCCCCTCACCCTAGCGGAGGAGCAAGAATAGGGTACGCGGATGCTCAGCCCTGTCCCTCAAGTCTCGGTCTCTGAGTCTTCCTCAGGTCTCCGAGCCAACACCCCTCTCTCCTCGACTTGCTGCCCTCCCAACTCTTTTCCGACTCCCTCTGTTGGCCTCGGCTCCTTTCACCCTCCGCTGCTGGCTGCTGCTTGTCGCAATCTCTGTACAAAGGGCCAGGGGCGGGAGTGGGGGGCGGGCAAGGGGAGCTGGGCCCGAACTGGCTGCTTCAGCAGGGCTGTGGCCAATCCTGAGCGCCCCCGCCTCCGGGGCGAGGGGGGCCCCCCCCCCCCCCCCCCGCACGGGAGGGTCCTGGGCGGCGCGGGGCGGGCGGAGCCGCGGGCAGAGCGTGGTGGTGCTCACTGAGGGGACGGCCCGCTTGCAGCCCGGCACCACGGGGGCTCTCCAACCTCACCATGCTGCCGTGGGGCGCTGCGCTCGCCCTACTCCTGGTCGCACTCGCCTTGCTTGGCCTGCTCGCACCCCGGCTGTGGCACACCTGGAGACGAGCCATTGGAGTGAGGACCCCGCTGGGGACCGGGAGTCAAAACCATGAAGGGGAGTCAGACGGAGGAGGCCCGGCGGACGAGTTCAGCAACGGGCGCGAGTCGCTGCCTGGCGGGTGTAGTCTCATCTGTAAGCCGTCGGCGCTGGCCCAGTGCCTGCTGCGCGCCTTGCGACGCTCCGCAGCGCTGGAGCCAGGCCCGCGGTCCTGGCTCTCCGGGCCCCACCTGCAGACCCTTTGCCACTTTGTGCTGCCGGTGGGGCCAGGGCCTGAGTTGGCCCGGGAGTACCTGCAGTTGGCCGATGACGGTCTAGTGGCTCTGGACTGGGTCGTGGGACCTTGCGCCCGGGGCCGCCGGGCCACCAACGCGGGGGGCCTTCCAGCGGTGCTGCTGGTGATCCCCAATGCTTGGGGACGCCTTACCCGCAACGTGCTTGGTCTCTGCCTACTCGCCCTGGAGCGTGGCTACTACCCAGTCATCTTCCACCGTCGCGGTCACTACGGCTGCCCACTGGTCAGCCCCCGCCTGCAGCCTTTTGGGGACCCATCGGACCTCAAAGAGGCAGTCACTTACATCCGCTTCCGACACCCAGCGGCCCCGCTGTTCGCTGTGAGCGAGAGCTCAGGCTCCGCGCTGCTGCTGTCATACCTGGGCGAGTGTGGCTCCTCCAGCTACGTGACCGGCGCCGCCTGCATCTCTCCGGTGTTGCGCTGCCGCGAATGGTTTGAGGCCGGCCTGCCCTGGCCCTATGAGCGTGGCTTTCTGCTCCACCAGAAGATCGCCCTCAGCAGGTGGGTCACCCGGGCCACGGATGGGCAGTTGAGGGGGAAGAGAGGTCTTCAGCTGATGGAGAAAGTGTTGCCTGGTATTGAATCATGTGGGTTTAGGACAATTTGGGCAGGATTCTCCTTACACACTTTCTGAAGCTTTCCAAACCCCCTATCTAAACTAGGACAAGCAGGTTTAAAAAGCCAAGGACTATTCAGTCAGCATCATTCTGCTAGAACAGGGACTCCTACCCTGGGGCCCCCTGGCCTCACTTCAGACCCACGGTATCCTAGCAACGGAGCACCTGCCCCCGCAGGCAGCAGAGGCCACGTCTGACATTTACCATTTAGTCCATAGCTAGTCAAATCAGCAAAGAGGCTTTAGAAGCAACTGCAACGATTTATCTGTCCAAAATGTTTCCTTATAGGCAGCCTGGAGATAACATGAATCAGATAGCTGGTGGCATTTAATTTATTAAAATTCTTAAGCCCTCACAAACATTTTACATATTCCTAGGTATGTACTCAGTATTAAAGATTTATTTTGTATTTATGCACACAAGACCTGGGGTGGAGACCAGAATTGCAGAGGGTGAGAGGATTCACCAGAGACAGAGTGGGAAGCAAAACAGGTGGACCCACTGAAATACACTGCTGAGGGGAACAGTGGGTGAGACAGGAGAGGTCTGCTGTGCCATGTGGGTCAGCTCCCTGGTTGGGGATTGAACTCATGCCCAGTGGTTGGTGGTAGCTTAATAGTGCTGAGACTTTAACCTCTGTGTCACCAGAAAGGCTCTGTACTCAATATTTAATTTAAAAAAATTAAGACTACCCAAACATTTTTTTTTTAAATCTCCGAAAGGAAAACAAGCTACCACCCAGGTGACAGGTCAGACTCTCCCACAGGGGAGGCCCTGGGTAGTATTCCCACAGCAAATATCAGACCTCAGTTTGCACTAGGAGTTGGCAAAATGAGGTAAATGAAAGACATTTTGGCAACAGTGTGGTATGGCAAAAAGATCTGGAACTTAAGGGTCAGACCCACTTGGATTCAAATCCTGCATTTCCAGCAAGTTAGTTAATTCCTTTGAAGTTCATTTTCCCCTTCAGTTAAAAATGGATTTAATAACATCTACTTTTCAATGTTGTTAACCATTAAATAACAAAAATGAAGGGTCAGCCCTGGGTAGGGGCATAGATGGTGGCAACTGGGATTCTTTTTTTTCTTACCCCTTCTGCCTCCTGTTTTGAGGTCAAATCCTAAGCTCTACATCCTCCCAAAGTGCTGCCATGGCAAACAGAGATTCCTGAACAGTCCAGGGGCAAGCTGCTCTTCCATGGCTTAGCTGCCATAGTTTCCATCTGTGAATGACCACCCACCAGTGCTGACCCTGGGCACCAGCTGGAGGATAAGGTGAGGGAAGTAGAGGGGAAAACCTGGGCTTTTAGGAACTGCCCTGCCAGTGGTTGAAGTTTGGGAATGAAAACTCAAGGCAAGCTTCTTTGCATGTTTGCAGGTGACACACTTCCAAATTCAACTGGTTAAGGCAGGATTAATCCATCCAAAGGATCAAGCGACCCATTCTGGCCGCTTGTTAGGGTGTCAGACCCTCTCCAGGGAGATGGAAACAAACAAACAAACAAAGACCCTCCTCTTTCCCATAGCAGATGCTTCCAGGCTTCTATCTAGGAACTCATCTCTGTAAATTGATTCCATTCCCCATCACTTGCTCTGCCACCCAGTCCTCTTTAGGAATGAATTCCTGCTCCATTGATCACAGTCACGCTCCTCTGTCATTATCTGGACAGCTTATTAGTTAAAACAAACTTGTACAACCTAATGTAACATATCAATGATGTGGTTGTCACCTGAAGATCTGCAAAGTCTGAGCTGGTAATTTCTAGGAGGAACCCAGGAGGTGGCAGTTCATCTCAAGTTCCTTACAGAGGGTCAGAGTTGAGGTCAGAAAGAAAACCATCTCTGCAGTTCAGCAGCTATCAGTAAAATGCTGCCCCAGAGCTGGGGAGATAGTGCCATGCACAGGTCTGGTAGGAACACAGGGAGGAGAGAGGAAAATCCTGACTGTGGCACTAAAGAATGCCAGCCCAAGTTGCCAGGCCTTCTCATTTCCCCCAGAGAAGCCAGATAAGTGATCTTTATGTGAAATGTCCATAAAATCACCAAGATAATGCAATGAAAGGTTTAAAAACCCTACATGGCCAAAGAAAGCCCGTTGCCAGAATCTGACCTGTGACTGCCACTCTGTTCCTTCTGCTATCAGTTTTTCTCCCGTTTCCTAACTTCCCCGTTCAACTTTTCACTCGTAGGTACACCACGGCCTTAGAGGACATCGTGGATACCAGCAAGCTGTTCAGGAGCCGCTCCCTGCGAGAGTTTGAAGAGACACTTTTCTGCCACACCAAGAGTTTGCCTATCAGCTGGGACACCTACTGGGACCGAAATGACCCACTACGGGATGTGGATGAGGCGGCTGTACCTGTGCTCTGTGTCTGTAGTGCTGATGACCCCGTATGTGGGCCCCCAGACCACTTCCTGCCCACTGAACTCTTTCACAGCAACCCCTACTTCTTTCTCCTGCTCAGTCGCCACGGAGGCCACTGTGGCTTCCTGCGCCAGGAGCCTATGCCAGCCTGGAGCCACGAGGTCACCTTGGAGTATTTCCGGGTCTTGAGTGATTTCTTCCGAAATGAAGAGAGGATAAAAGCGCTAAGCAGACGCAGAGCTTCATTCCTAGGGGGCCGCCGCCGCTGGGGAGCCATGCAGAAGCGGGAGGTGTCACCCTCTTCCAATCTGGAGGACATCTTTAGCTGGAAGAGATCATATACAAGGTGAGACCTGGCCAAGAAACCCCCAGTCCTGCAAAGAAGAGCAGCATTGGGTTTGGGTGAGTCTTGGAAAGGTGGTGAGGACAAAATGGAGCCAGCAGCTCTCTTAAGCTGGTCTGTGGAAAGAGCTGGAACTTCCCGCAAGCTGCCGCCCACATTACCCTGAGCAGAACTCCTGCCCAGGCTCTGTTCGCATTCCTATTCATCTTGGTCAGTGGCTGTGCATTCCCTGTCACTGTCTCCCGCCACAGATTTCATAATCTAGAGAATACCATTTCAGTCCAGGCTCACAAGTGCTCTCTCACTAGGGTCACTGCAGAGTGAAGAGTATTTGCATGTCACTGGGCAGTTGGGTCCCACATAAATGCTCTATGACCCTGATTCTCAAACTGGAGCAACTTGATGTAGTGAGGACAGGATGTTTGTGTCTCGGTCCCACTTCCCTCATTTTGTTCTGTGGTGTGGCCTCTGCTGACTTCAGGGGCGGTTGTGGAAGTGGGCTCACAGAGCTGTGTGGCTGCCTGTCTGGAGTGAATGAGAAAGGCAGCAGAGGCAGTGAATACCATGGTGAAACCGGATTGGTGAGGGCCAGAAAGAAGTCAACATCTGGAGGGCTAAGCTCCAGCTTTTCAGATGAGCTCTGCAAAATCTCACGATGGGATTGATCTGGGGCTTCAGCCTAGAACCTCAAGACTCACTGGAGAGCTGAAGGATGATTTTAGGAATAGAAAGTCCTCACATACAAAGATATAAAGGTTCTACCAGACCAAGCACCAGAAGTCAACTCAGATGCTCCCGCTGCTGCTTTGATACCATTTCAAAGGATTACTCCAGAGAGCTCTAGCCAGAGCTGCTTTTCTCCTGAGATGTGAGCTTTTCTAATTAATGAAATATATAAATCTCATCTTAGGTATTTCTGACTAGTTTTCTGTTTTCTTTTTGGGTATTACGACTGCCACTCCCTCTCCTAGAGGCTGGAAAGACATTGGGATCACAGAGTACCACCTAGAAGTTGGCTAGACCTGCCAGAAATTCATGAATATTTCACATTACCATGCTTTCTTCCTGGGCAACTACTCACACCACCATCTGTGGAAATGCAGTCAAGCTTCTTTCTTGCTCTGGCCACTCAGTGACTGAGTGGGTGTTGATTTCATGAGGAATAAACCCTGAAGATCAGAGTGATTAAAGGTAGTATACTGATTGATGTAGACATCCTGGTTTGGACTAAGCCACTAAATAATACAACAGGAAATCTGGTTCCATGGATTGCTAACACCTTTGCCCTGAGGCTTTATTTTGTCATTGAGAAAGAGGACACCTGTTTTGACAGGAACCTGCACCCTGGAGTCAAACAGCAAAGTAATTTTAAAGTAATGTTTACCAAAAACTGTGTCCAAAGGTTAGCTATAAAGAATTCCAAGACAGGATTTCAGGTATGGATAACCATCCACCAGCCTAGCTGTTCTAGATCAAAATAAAGAAGGAACTCTAAACTATTAATCTAAGAATCTAAACTGAAATGCAGACAAAACTCGATCATCCTTGTCATGAGAAAATTATCTTTATTCCTCACATCTTGCTTCTCTTCCACATTCCCATCTAATGTTCTTTCACCATTTCTGAGCAGGAAAAATAAAAAGGAACCGACCTCTAACGATCCCACTGATGGTTAACCCCCGCAGTTAGGATTTACAGGGGAGAACTGCTGACATCTGGCCATACATTCTTCTCCCCCAGCATCTGGTACAATGGGAATCTCAAGAGTTCTACAGTCTCATCTGCCCTAGGATTGCACAGAAATGAGTGCAAAATAGGAAGCAACCCAGTGATTTTAAAACCCCATGATTTGAAGTACCTTAGCCTAAGGATTAAATCTGGGTTGCTTTTCTAGACCCTGGTTCTTTAAGATAACTCTGGAGAAATAATGCTTGTTTTTCCTTTCCCTTTTAATAGGAAAGAGAGTTTATAGGGAGCTTGGGGGTGGTACACACATACACACATATCCATGCCTTATAGTCTTTAAGCTTTCAGAATGGCAGAGCAGTTCTAGTTCTGGGCTCCACTAACTCGCCCCACACCCTAATGACCTAACCCTAAAGTATTTCTCCTTCATTCCCCTTGTGCCAGATGTGCTCACTGCCTATGTCAGAAAGCTACTTCTCTCATCTTTCCATAATTGTTTTTTTCAGCTAGGGGAGAGCCCATTTTTGCTAAGATTATTCTTATTTAACAGGTTTGCCCATCACCCAAACTAGCTCTGCTTTGGTCAACAGCTAATTACAGCTGGAGGAACCCCAGGCATATTATCCTGGGAAATATGTGGCTTTTGAACAAAATAACAAGTTGAACAATGACAAGTTACAAGAAATGCAACCCCAAAGCAGTACCACCAGAGTTGGTGTTTTCCTGGTGAATCCTCTCAGGCATCATTCACTTGCTTGCTTCCCTTGGGTTTCTTCATTATTTATAAACACCGTCATGTGGTAAAGGGGAAAGAAAAGAAATGCAATGATTTAAAAGGGAATGATAACCTCAGCAGCAGACTGAATCCTCCAACCACTGGATAGAATGCAAGCAGCAGGGGCCGTCCTGGTGGCAAAAGTCTCAGCATTACCAACTAAGCTATCAGCAGTCACTGCATTCCTGGCAGGGAGTTGACCCATATGGCCTAGCAAACCTCTCCTCTCTTGTCCACCACTCCACTCTGTAGTGTATTTTAATAGATTCTGTCTGATGTCCCACTCCCCACTCATCTCTGGTGAATCCTCTCACCACCCCCACCCCACACCTCTGGCCTACATGCCAGCTCTTGTATGCATAAATAAATATTATCTTTAAAGATTTATGCATGTATACAGAACTGGGGTACAGGCCAGAGAAGCAGGGGCAGTGAGAGGATTCACCAGAGACAGAGTAGAAAGCAGAACAGGCCAACTGATGGAAGTACACTCCTGAGGGGAGCAGCAGGCTGGTCAGGAGAGGCCTTGCCATGTCAGGAGAGGTACCCCCAGGGTACCTCTGGGGCTGGGGATTGAACTCATGCTGAAGTGGCTTTAGCTTCTTAGTGCTGTGCTTTAATCCACTCCACCACCAGGGAGGGCCAAAAATAAGTATTTTTTAAAAAAGAATGCAAGCAGCAGACAGCTGTCTCTGAAGATTGTTTTTAAGTTCTTCAAGCTCTGATATCTGATACTGAATCGTGCTAAACTATAACTTGTCCTACTTATGAGCTTATGTCTTTATACATAGCTTTCCCAGTTAACATGGCTGAAATTGAAAAACAAAGAATCAGATCTTAACGTTGGGAAGATATTTTGAGTGAAGCTGTAATTTTTAAAGACGTGAGTGCTGTTAAGGTCAACACAGGAAGTGTCATATTGGCTTTCTGTATTACCTCAACACGCCCCCCCCCACCCCCAGTGTCAGATGCTCCTCTGTATTCATCTGCCACCTAGACCACAAGATCTTCAGTCATCCGTAGTAATGCCATGACATCTTTCTTTAGAAATAAACATTGGCATGAATTTTTTCCCCCTGCTTAAGCAAGCAGTATAGTTGGTCACTTGGTAACAATGCCAATATTTGTGATTAGTCAAGTCACAAAAAATGACATCAGAAAGTGTTTTTCAACTTACCACAATTTGCAGAGATAAGATTGCTTTGAGGAAGACTTGAGAAGTTACACCTATTCTCCAGTGTCTGGAGATGGAAGGACTGCCTCAGGAAGAACTATGTCCTACATCATCAGTAGGATATGATAGATTGTTCTTGGCACCAGAGGGAAACTGTGCTGGGAACCAAGGGTAGCCTAGATTACTACAAATCTCTTCTCAGCTAAGTCAGGTAATTTAAGGAATACTAATGAGCTCAGCGAGTTGTAAACTTCTGGTTGATTCATGTGTTTAAGGGTCAGGGGCCCACAGACCTGATGTGGATTCTGGGAGTTGGGAAGATTTTAAGAAAATAATACTGCCAACGTGGTCAGATGGTATTTTTATGACATTCAGTATTATGCTGTAATATAAAGGTGTCTAGGATGAGCTCAAAGTGTGAAGATGGAATTTCACTAAAACTATAGAAGACATGAACTATGTACCCCTCCAGCCTTCCTGTAAGTATTGATACCTCATCCTAGTGTTTATCACTACTGTGGTTGAATACAAATTTCTAACTTGCCTCTAAATAATAAATATATTGCAGTTGCCCTGGAACAATGGAATGTCATTATTTTTTAAATCTCCAGAAACAAATATGTGCTATTTGCCTTCTAAAGCTGTGTACTGAGTTATGCTTACCTACCCATGAAGTCGAATAGTCTCCCCTGCACATTCTCTTTTCACTGTATGTTGCTTCGCTTCTGTAGTTCTAGCCTTTTTGTCCCTTAACTCTAACTAGTGGCAACTCTGTTTAATCAACAACTAGGCCTCCTGCTCTGGGCTAATAATTTTCCAGCATACCCAAAATTCCCAGATCATCAATGATACTTACATAGCGGTATTTTCCAGCAGGCAACTTATCATTTGTGTCACAGAGTACTGAAGTAGTTTGGAAATGTGGGTTCTAGTTCTATCTCACCTGTGATTTCTATGACCCTGGTAAAATTAATTTACGAGCTGTTCCATATGAAAAGACATACTGTATATAGGCCTTAATTTATAAGCTCATTTAGGAAATATAATGAGTCGGTAATAGCAGATAAAACCCACTTTCCAAGTCTATTTAATTCCTAAGTGAAGGCAAACTCTTCCATCCCCAGCTCATACACATACTCAACTCACTCTGCTAACCATGTTACAGATGACAGGTTTCATGTTGGTTCCCTAATTCTGGCCCAAAACCGTATCCAGTTTTTACATATAAAAGTTGAGCAAGGATGTGACTTTAAAGTTCTCACAATTAGTGATGAGGCTGAAGACCAGAATCTAAATCAGTGCTTTATCGCATATTTTACCTGCCTTTTCGTCGCCAATCACTGGCTGAGTTGACAGTAAATAATACCCATTT